AATCATAATAAGACAAAATACCAGCCTTTCCAAATTTGTCATACACGAAATATGCATAAATAACATGACTCAACTGCAGCTGTAGCCATCGTAATTAAATAAAATACTTGATAAATCAAGACACAATAAGCACTTTATATAGACAATGAAGTATGAATAAGACATGTTGGTAGGAATACTCGGCTGAGGTGATCTTAGAGGCCATGAGGGAAGATGAACACGTCAAGGCATGACAAGGAACAACTTCCTCAACATATCACATGATCGAAGGCAACTCCAGCCAGGCCTCGAGCCCTCGCCTCAAACCTTAATAAACCACTTGTTTAACACTATTCTTAATGGATTGATTGAGTAGATGTTCTTATCGGCAAGCTGGTCACTCCACCAGTATAAAAGATAGGTGCTATCAGCAGCGAGGTGAGGAGAATTAGAGGATAAAAAGAGAGATAAGAGTTAACACTCACCATGGCGGCACCACTCACATGTAAACAAACGTCCTTGACACTGAGCATGCGCCGCCCCCCGTCCCTGGGGGTGTGGCGCCCCCCGTCCCTGGGGGTGTGGCTCCCTCCGTCCCTGGGGGTGTGGCTCCCCCCGTCCCTGGGGGTGTGGCTCCCTCCGTCCCTGCGGGTGTGGCGCCCCCCGTCCCTGGGGGTGTGGCGCCCTCCGTCCCTGGGGGTGTGGCGCCCCCCGTCCCTGGGGGTGTGGCGCCCCCCGTCCCTGGGGGTGTGGCGCCCCCCGTCCCTGGGGGTGTGGCGCCCCCCGTCCCTGGGGGTGTGGCGCCCCCGTCCCTGGGGGTGTGGCTCCCTCCGTCCCTGGGGGTGTGGCTCCCCCCGTCCCTGGGGGTGTGGCTCCCTCCGTCCCTGCGGGTGTGGCGCCCCCCGTCCCTGGGGGTGTGGCTCCCTCCGTCCCTGGGGGTGTGACTCCCTCCGTCCCTGGGGGTGTGGCGCCCCCCGTCCCTGGGGGTGTGGCTCCCTCCGTCCCTGGGGGTGTGGCTCCCCCCGTCCCTGGGGGTGTGGCTCCCTCCGTCCCTGGGGGTGTGGCGCCCCCCGTCCCTGGGGGTGTGACTCCCTACGTCCCTGGGGGTGTGGCGCCCCCCGTCCCTGGGGGTGTGGCTCCCTCCGTCCCTGGGGGTGTAGCGCCCCCCGTCCCTGGGGGTGTGGCGCCCCCCGTCCCTGGGGGTGTGGCGCCCCCCGTCCCTGGGGGTGTGGCGCCCCCCGTCCCTGGGGGTGTGGCTCCCTCCGTCCCTGGGGGTGTGACTCCCTCCGTCCCTGGGGGTGTGGCGCCCCCCGTCCCTGGGGGTGTGGCTCCCTCCGTCCCTGGGGGTGTGGCGCCCCCCGTCCCTGGGGGTGTGACTCCCTCCGTCCCTAGGGGTGTGGCGCCCCCCGTCCCTGGGGGGAGTGGTGCCCCCCGTCCCTGGGGGTGTGGCGCCCCCCGTCCCTGGGGGGTGTGGTTACCCCGTCCCTGGGGGTGTGGCGCCCCCCGTCCCTGGGGGTGACTCCCCCCGTCCCTGGGGATGTGGCTCTCCCGTCCTTGGGACAGGGCTCCCAGCACCCTTCCTCCCACCACACAACCCCTCCATCGGCAAATCCCCATCCAATGGAATCCCTCTCATCATAACTCACTATATTCTATTTAAACAACTTTTTTCATCATTCTGTACTCCTCCATACCCTGTATCACCCTCTCCAAACATGCTGAGAGAGGTGCAGCTGTTCGTGCAGTTTTAAAACTGTATATTAAAGCTTATTTAGTTGACACAAAATAATATGATTTTGAACCAACCACACGGACACACACTGAATCATAATGTGCAAAATAGTAAAGGGAAATGCTTAATGCGTGTTACAAAAAGGAGGCCTGGTCGAGGATCGGGCTGCGAGGACGCTAAGCCCCGAAATCATCTAAAGATAACCTCAAGATAAGGGATCAAGAAGCCAGCGAGATGGTAAAGCAAACCAACAAAATCGTTAGAGGAGAGGATAGTGAAGGGCAAAGGACAGAATATGTTCCTGAAAATTGTGTGTACTAACAGATTGTATATATATAAAAAAATACCGGAGTTAAATGGTACAAATATAATACAACTAAAGATGCCAGACATACAGTAGTTGTACTAGCAATGACGAAACTGGAGGAAGATAAATTTTTAAATGAGATGGTATTTCCAAGAGGGAATTTTTGGAGACGAGAAAAAAATAGAAAACTTGTAAAGACTAAAGGCAAGAGAATTAATGCTTGACATCCCTCAAGAAATTGACATAATAACACTAGAGATCTGCAATCAGAATGATACTGATAAGCATTATTCCCTACAGCCCACCAGCAAGCAGCCAATGGACTGCAGAGTAGCTACTATAGATAAGAAGAGTGGGTCTTATAGTAATCGTGAGAAATTCACAAAGAAATCACACTAATGTGATATGTCAATGAGAAAATCAATTGCAGCGACGAGGTGACTCGAACCAGCGATCAGGGTACTCCCAGCCACGCTACTTACCCCTGTAGCACACGGTGTTATACAGCCTGAGATTTCAGTTCCACAGAGCAAAATTTATATTTCAAAATATCCTATTATGGACCTATCTACAAGAGATTTAACTACATTAGCATATTTACCATGTCCCAGCCTCAGAATCAAACTTTCAAAGGTATAGAGTAGCTCATACCTTTTAAAGTGGTACGAGCTATTACGTTCACTGATCCTGGTAACGTCTTATGTTTAGCTAAATGTTCCTTGTCCAGTGTCAGACGAGTGTGTAGAGTCATTTAGAGGCGACCTGGAACAGAGCATATGATTGGTAGTGTCTACATCTGTAAGGGATGGGATGTTATGGGATGACAACAGAGCTTCATTACACAGAAACCATACTATGTTGAGACACCAAAACCTGCTACTACACACTATCATTGGTAGAAGAAAACATTAATTTATCACTTTGTTAGGCTTCTACCCTTTTATCAGACATGGGGCCTTATAGGCCACACTATTGTTCTCTAGGTAATCATAGTATACAACAAAAATAATCCACCACCCAATAAGGTGCTGCCCAGTGTTCAAATACTGTATGTACATTCAAGTATTGTAGAGATGTCTAGCCAGATGCAGCACTGGAACACTCATTCAGCATCGTTCCTGGCATGATGCCTTTTGTATTATAGCTACGAAAGTGCTATAGAATGGAAGGAATAACAAAAGTTTTATGCACAGTATAATATTGAAAGAAGGTGCAAAGTAATTATCAAAAGGCACCAAACCGGGAAGGCTATGTAGCTTCAATCAAATGTGCGGAATAATCAGAGGGCGCTAAATATCACCAAGGATGCCAATACGAGAATAGAAATGCATAAGGCGAACGATATCAAAAGCATCCGATTCACCAAGAATTCCATCGAGGGACGGTCAGAAAACAAGACACACGCTCGTCCTGGAAGTCAGGACATTCAGCAAGGATATGCACAATCTCAAGAGGGACAATGCAATTTGAACAATAAGGAGCAAGGCGGCGTTATCCATTAAGTGACCACGAGTTAAGCGTGTATGGCCAATACGCAACCTCGCCAGAGCCGGTTACAGTGGTAGGAGGACGGCCATGAAGACACACTACTCTTAAGAGTACGCAGTTTGTTACCGTAACAGAAGACCAACAATCCCGCCAACGGGTAAGGATGGAGGAATGAATAACTGGGCAAGTCAGAATAAGGAATACCTTTATGAGAGATGGGACAAGAGCGGACAGCTTCCTTAGCGGTAGTGTCCGCACGCTCATTTAAGAGAGACCAATATGGCTGGGAACCCAGCAAAACTCAACTGACTTATATTTACTGGAAATAAGACACAGCCAATGCTAAGTCTCAACAACCACTGGATGGACCAGATTAAAGGACCCGAGAGCCATAAGAGTACTACGAGTCAACGACAACTACAAAGGAAGATTGACAACAAGAAAGCAGGAGACGAAGAGCATAGTGAATAGCATAAAGTTCCGCTGTGACGATGCTAGTCTCCGGAGGTAGGCGACACACATAAGTGCTGTCAGGAAAAGCAACAGAGTAGCCTACACTGTCCGCAGACTTAAACCCTTCGGTGAAGATAGAAACAAGAGTGGGGAGTGTGAAGAAAAGTGCCCGAGGAAAAGGCGTTTCAGAACCGTAGGAGGGGTAAAAGCTTTAGAGATGCGGGTTAAGGATGTACAAAACTTCGGAAGGGAGACTCTCCACGGGGGCAAGGAAGGAACAATACGAAGAAATACATTAGAAATAGGAACTGAAAGAGAAAAGAAGGTGCAAAGCCTGGAAGACTGTACAGCATCTATAAAACAATGTCACTCCAAGGTTCACGGCCAGATGCAAGGAGAATGTTTCATTTAACTTTGCAGGATTAAAGAAAATTTAAGATGCATGTTATAGGGGTGTTGGGGGTCAGCCCCTATACTTACCTTACAAGATGAATTCTTAATCAGTTGACTAGCATAAGTTTTAAATATTTGTATATTCCAATACTGGGATTTAAAAATTTATGTTCAGATGACAGATTTTCATAGTGCAACCTTCTGGCTACAGTGGGGATAATATTTAGGAAAAATTACTGCAGTGATGGGGGTGAAGGAGGAGAGGTTGTGGTGGGGGTTGGAGGAGGTTGGTGTAGGGAAAGAAACTGCCAGGTACCCCATCTGGTAATTATCAAAAGGTGCCAAGCTGGGAAGACTGTAGCACCATTTGTATGCCAAGATATTCATAAGACAGTAAATATGAGATGCAAATACCTGAATATGGTACAAGGCAAGAGATATGAAAAGTATCCAATTCACCAAGGATTCTATAGATGGACAAATGAGACTACCCAATCTAGTTTAGCTATATACAAAAAGTGCTTAAAATAATATATATGCCAAAAGTAAAAATATCTTTAAACTTAAAGAATGCTACAATAAATAGAATTCACATGTTTTAGAATCCATTACAATCAATTGAAGAGAATAGGGGAATATAAAAACAAATTTTTGCTTATTAAAATTTATGTACATAATGTAAGAAATTTAAAATTAAATATCTGCAATGCATCATAATGTGTAGACTCTACGTATCTGATGTAAGGTGCTTCCTTAAGTAACAGCTCCTGCAGAGCAAAGAACCTAGGAAGTGGACTATCATGGTAAAACACTCCTTGATATCAATCATCACACTAATATTTTCACAATATGTTTCTTTTGTATTTGACTTTTAAAATGCTTGATGAAAATCTAATTATTTATACACTACTAAAGCATTAATACAGCAAAAACAGTGCTAGCTAGATATGCACTACATTTCATTCTAGCAACTTTAGACTAATGTGACTAAGGATTTCACCAACATTTAAAAAGTTAGTGAATATGGTCAAAGTCTGCTTTTGAAATGTCGAGCAAATCACACACAGTATTTGAGGAGTGCATTGGATGGCCACTTCACTGCCATGGAATGCTTGTGGAAACATGCCAGCTGACAAGGATGTGGTGGTAGTAGTATCCTGTCAGTCACCATGCTCGCATCAATCTCCAACATTCCACCATGACATGAAAAAACAAATGGCAAATAAAAAAAAAATTAATATATATATATATATATATAAACTGTACTCGATTCAGCCTGTATTATTACAAATCTACAATACACATTGTACAAGGATATATTCATGCCATACCAACTTTTTTATATTTCTATCTCTGAAAAACTGAGTAGGTAGTCATGTCATATTTATAATGCATATTATATATATAATATACATTTTTATATAAATATATATATAAATATATATATATAATATATATATATATATATATATATATATATATATATATAAATATATATAAATATATATAAATATATATATATAAATATATATAATATATATATATAATTAATTAAAGGTATTGAAATCCACCTGACTGGGTTTGTCTGCATGCACATGTGTGAAATTGTGTATGTAAATGTATATGCTTTTGAATGTGTAACTGAAGTAGAAATATATTACTGTATATCAAATTAAAAATATAAGCCACATTACTGCAGCATACTGTCTCCCTATAAGGATTTCCTCAAGTAATAAACTGTAACAAATTAAAATGATCTTTTATCCACATTTAAAGCAAATATGATCTGGGAATGACAATAACCATGTCAAAAAATTTTTTTTTTTTTTACATTGCACAAAAATGTCAGCAAAACATGATAAAAAAAAATCTTAAATGCACAACATTTATATATTTTCAGAAGACATTTCTTAGAAAAAATTCTTGCCATTAGGACCACAAATACTGGATCCTTGACAAAACTGCACACACCAAAGTGACCACCTACATTTTAATCATTTCCTTATCCATCCTTTACTGTGTCTATGAAGTGAAAAATTCCCAATGCTCTTTTGCCAAGTACTCGCCGTCTCATTTCTCGATTCATCGCCAAGTCGGGCAATGAGCAGAATTGTTTTGAACTTTTCGAGTAAAAACTTCAGGAAGCATTATCCCTACTCTAGAAAACAAGTAGCAACATCTATATTCCAAACGTTCTCTTCAAAAATAAAGAGTGCTAGAAGTTGCAAATTATGTATATTGTATCATGCAACAAACCCTCACAACCATCACTAACACGCATGGATCAATTATGTAACATTCTAAGTGATTTTCATGCCATAAAAACAATGACACGGCTCAATGAGTTCTACACAAGTTAAGTACAAGTAATTAGTTTTCCTAATAAATATAAAAAAAAAAAAAAAGTCCTGGAGTTACTTCAACATGAATTACTTCACAACAGAGTGAACAGCTGATGCACACACTACTTTCAAATAGATAATACCACAGGTGTTCTGCAACAATAGACATCTTACTCCATTCACACAACTTCGGTTACTTTATCAACATTAAGCAAATGTTGGTTATATGAATACAAAAACTGGTTAGCAAATGATTACAATCAAACATGGCCACTAGAGTTCAAACACACCATATTTTGATAATATCATTTCAGAGGTATATTTATAAGAACTATAACCATGCAATAAGTGGGTGTTTGTGTATTAAGATACTTATTTTGTTAACTCTGCAAAGCTGGCAATTGTGTTACATGAGAAAGTTATAAACGAGATTACCTTCCTCACCAATGCTTAATGACTTTTTTTACGTATCAGAAACTACAAAGTTATTAAAATATGTGTGAAAATATATTTATGCAATCCCATATATGAAGCACATGCAAATGTCCATTTGAGAAAAAAAATTATCTCGCTTTTCAATCGACTGTGCATTCAGCTTTTAACATCTAACACACTTAAACTAAATTTTTCCTAATTATAAAAGTGCACTGAACAATGAAAATTCAGCGATATTAGCAACACTGCTATTTTCCCATTAATGTACATCAAGTTCCGTATCTTTAAACAAAAATATTAAAAATTCTGTTCTTTTCCCAATAATTGTTTTAACATTCTTTTTTCATAAACTTTAAAAAAAAGTTATTACAGTAGCATTTAATTGCACAAGTCCCATTGCAGCTTTATTGAACACCATGCCAAACTCTTCCAAGATTAGGCCTCATTTTGGCTGTATTTACACAAATGTGACTAGCAAGCTCGTTTTTATCAACTTCCTATGGACTCCACTCTTCTCTCTCTCTTTTTATTACAAGACATTTTATACTGCCAACCTGGGTTGTACAAGAGGGCACTATACAGTGGTGATGAGAAACCAAACATTTAATTTCATCAGGAACTATTATTATCAATCATCTGCAACTTTATTTTCTAAGGTTTAAAGGGGGGGGGGGGGGCCAACACAATTGTTTCAATTGATGTGTCTTAGTACATGGATATTAAAAATTTTAAATTGGTAAATAGAGCTTAGACTTACACGTAATGTCCTCCTACAACTTCAATCACCCTTTTTAAAACCCAAACTTTCCATCTTCAGAATCAACAAATAAACCATATATATATTCTCAATGCTTCAAACTAAATCATTTTGAATTATTTTCATATGTACATTAAAAAATATAGGAACTATTGATCACTGCCAAAGTAAAAACTGCAAAAAATAGCTAATTTATGGTAACCGAGAAGTCACCATGTCAGTAATTTCTTTTTTAATGTATACCTGTATATTATTTCTAGGCATTTAACCGCACCTAAACCCAGAGATTGGACGAGAAAACAAAAATTGTATAAAATATATATTCCTGATACTGTATATACATGCACCCTTTTTCAGCAATTTAAATTGCAACATAAAAGATAAACTAAAGATACCTGTAAATGAAGCACGTTTTCATGAACCGCTGAAAATCAACACATTCAGGGGGGGTACCATCTGTCACACTTTACAACTATCTCACCAACAAACACCAATTTTCAAGACCACATTTGGATACTGAAAAGCTAAAAAATATTGAACATAAAAATTTGTAACGGTATTTTAATATTTCTGATTTTGTAGCTACCTTCTTTAAATTTTATCACCGTTCAAAATATTATTCTGCAACTTAAATGAATGACTTTTTTGGCAATAATCTATGGCATAAGAAATGGATGATGTTTTCAAACTTTTCCTTTCTGTAGTTATCAGATGTTATTAATCAATAAACCATTTTAAAAGTTGTTGCAACTCAAATTCAATATTTGGGCAATACCAGTTTTAATCTTGTACCATTGAACTGAACTCTCAATAAAACAACAACTGATTTACAAGTAAAAATAATCTGAGATACAATGCTCCAGCAATCTTGTGCTTTCTGTAAGCAAAACTAAAACAATTTTATAATACATAATTTTAGTTTCAAAGGGAGTTATCAAAAGTTTATAGAAACTTGGTCTACATAGGTAGGAGAGGAAATAGTCTTTTTTATACAATATAGGTAATTTAGAATACTAAAATTGTTCATTTAGACTTGGGGAAAACTTTGAAGTTCATGACAAGTGACACTTCCACAACAGTAGTATACCAAAACTGACAATTCTGTACACTTATGAAAGTAATAGTTTTCTTCTTTTACTCATACAACTAATTCACAAATGTATATAAAGCTTTGATTATTATGTATATTTGTAAGATTCAGTCTACTTGTTAAGGTAAAACTTATCTATGAACACATCAACCGACTTGCAACTTTGCATCCACAAAGGCTAACGACTGATGCTCCTACAGTTCACAGACAATTTTGTCACCACGAGCACACAAGTTAAATTGCCAAGTGATTGGGGCAACATAAAAAAAATAAAAAATAAAAATTCAGAGAAAGAAAAACCTGGGATTTGCTTTTATTTTATTACTGCTCCAGTTATTGAGTACATATATTGTATATTGAAGTGATAAAAGGAAATGTTGTGTGAAGCTTAATAACTGAAATAACCCTTCTTAAAGAACTCCACAACATGAACTTGCTGCCTGAACCAAATGTGGTGAAACACTCCTTGCTAAACTATTTGCCTTACAAGTATACTGAACCACACAGAAGCAGCAACTTGGGCTGAATATCCCTGATCTGGCATATTTTCATAATTCCTACATAAATCGAGCCATTAGAGATGCTGCCATTCTGTTGCCACGACGCTCGAGTTGCTCTCCATCGTATGAGCAATTGTGTCGGGAATGGCATGAGAGAGCCACATGGAGTGCAAGCGTGAATACTGCATAGCATCTAAATGCAAGGGGTTCCCACGCTTCAGACCCTGGTCAGTCTCTCCGTACTCATCAAGGTAGGGTGGGTTGACAAAACATCCTGAAAACATGAAGTTTCAGAGATAATACAAAAAATTTGAAATTATTCATTACTTTTCATTTAAAGCTCATAATTTCTGTGGCTTTGAAGCTAACTATTCATTCACAAGGAGAAAAACCTGGGTGTGATTTCCAAATTGGCTGGAAACATTTGAGCAAAGGTCTTCTCCAATCACTCCTGTACACCCAGAACTGATTAGGAGGGTGCATGAAAAATTGACTGGCTGTTCCAGCTGTTAAATACAAAGATTAGACTTGCAAATGAACTAAAAATCCTTTACAACTCTTAGCTTGTGAAATAAATATGGTATATAAATTATTACTTTTTAAAATGTTCTTCCTGGATCAGTGAAAATACAGCAAGGCAACAATAATTTATTGTTGTCTTTACTTCTATTTCATTTTTTACCTTTACCTTGTAACTAAATTTTTATTAATGAAATTTTTATTACTAAAATTTATACTAAACATTGCTGCTGCTATACAGCAGAAATGTTTTGTGTATCTTTAAGCGATAGTAAGAATTGGCAGTCAACGTAGGAGACCTGGTGCAGCCACTTTCTTGTCTTGGGTGTTGACCATCTCATATCAAGAAGGGTTGCAAAAGTAATAATATGCATATATGCTTGCATAAAAAAAAAAAGTGTACATTACACCTTGCTGCTCGAGTTAAAAGTGAATGTATGAATGGAGATTATGAAACTTTTATCCTTTTATGCTTACCCTTAATACGTCCAGACAACAGCAAAATCTTGCATTCTCGCACCCTGAGGAAAATTCCCGTCCCAGCTCCACAGTGGTGCGCATGGTAAGTACAAGCACCCACCATCTGTCTAGAGCCTTCTGGAAACTCTGTCTGGCAGCAGTAACTCTGAAATAATCAAGTATTAGAATGGCAGGTAGAAACTATGTCAATCTTCTCTCTTAATGTTTAATCCTGAAAATGCTATAATCATATGTTGATTATTGCAATGCTGTCATAATCATAACATGATATGCTGTGTGTTAACATTTGAATGCTGATGTTGGCCATATGGTTCCAATAGCTATAAATGTGTCGCCCAGTAGTCGTGGGAAGGCACAATATTACTTTGTCGGACAGAATTCAGCATCTGGACTTCCATCATCATATGATAATGACCATTACCTAGACCAACACAAATCTTCATGGATTTTTGTATTTTTATTTTTGTATACAAATTCTTTACTTTAATACATCTCGTACAACAAATAAAATGTTTTGTTATTGAAGAGTCAAACTTCACTCCCTAAATATAAATTTCATCTGTGAACTCTAGGGTTTAGCCACCCATTTGCAATGTGCAGTGGTATGGTTTTTAAATATCGATGACTTTTACATTTTTGGGACTGAATGTACACGTTTATTTCTCTAAGTTTTGATATTTTTTTTCCAACAATATTGTTATATTTGGTTGATAACTATTTTGTTGCATCTGACTATTACCGAGTTCTGTTCGAGCGGGAGTCCACGGTACTGTATATACTTTTAATAGTGAATAGTGGAAACTCGCCAAGGAAATGAGTTGTACACGATCTTGCCTGCTGTATCCAATCTAAGGAATTCCAAAAATTTTTATGTATGCATGTTAATTAAATCATTTGAGCACTAACATTTTTATATAAATAAAGTTCCATTCCAGCAAAAACAACCCATTCTCTTAGAAATTTATTATTTTTCTATTTCAACTGATCTTTGACCAATTATATGACCAAAACAACTATACAGGTGGATTAAATTCATGCAGGTCTCCACTGTGTACAATATTATCCGGCACATTAACACTTAACAGTTAGACTGAAGATAAAAATAATCCCCACACGATTATTTAACCTTGTGTCTGAATAGTTTGGAGTATAAACAGTCATAGGGAAGTAACAATAATAAAAATTATACCCAGCAGTAACTCACCTGAGAACATAACATCTTCCCACATACAAGACACATTGTAGGTGTTCGAGAGTCATCTCCAGAAGATGCTGGGCATGGAAATTGTGACACAGTGTTGATCAATTCTGAATAATCACGTGGAAGGCTGACAAGCTGATTAATGCGAACCCAAGATCTCATGCAGCCTTCACTACCAGCACCACCAACTAAGGGCCCTACACGACTGTCACAACACCATCTGAAAGAATTTGGCATGTATAAAGTGTGTAATAAAAAATACCCCTCCCACGGCAACAAAAATATTAAATTCTAAAAAAAGATGATATTTTCTAGGTCAATGAACAAAATTTTATAAACTAGCTTTTAACTGTGCACAATCTCACTATTAAAAGACAAAATGAACATGTAAAACTAAAAACATAAGCATGGACAATCCAACAACTATATAACTCGTGTAAGGATTATAATCATATAAAATGAATGATAAACCTGCTATGGAGACCAATTTCTCTGGAAAAAGAAGAGGGGAGTTAGCCAAGCTACTCATTCCCCTACATTCTTCTCATTATTTAAGTGTAGGGGCTCCCCCCCCCACCCCCTACACTATCTCACATAGGTGGGGCTCTATATTCATAATGGCTTGACACTTTCCCCTGATAACTTCCTTCCCCCCCCCCCACTCTCACATGGGTCAGTGTAGGGAAAGAGGGCAAGAGTGGGGAGGAGAGAGAGTATGTGGGGTGAGGAAATGAGTGTGGATGGGGCAAGCAAGTGTATACAGGGAGAAGGGGGGGGGGGTGAGCGAGTATGGGAGAAGCATTATTATTATTAAAAATAAATAAATAAATAAAATAAAATACAATGTCACTAAATGAAACCAGTTTCACAACGAAATCATACAAATGTGATATATATCAATGAGAGCAATGAGGTAACTCGAACCATTGACCACGGTACTTCCACCTGTGCATCTTGGAATACCTCTCTTGCTGGTTCAAGTCGTCTCATTGCTCCTGCTGATTTTCCCAAATGAAAACAGTGTTGTCAAGAATGTGCTAAATATATGTGCATCCTATAGGGGTCCACTGGATTTTTATTTTACACACACCTGTAAAAAAATATACAGTACTTATATCTCACCTGTTGACTAGCTCTGAAAGCGTTGGATCACTGAATGTTGGTCTGAGCTGGTTCATAGCCAAACCCAAGTAACGAAGGAGACAGTAAAACTCCGATTCTGGTACCCAGACCGACGACTGAAGCTCTTCTGGAGCAGGGACTTCAGTCAGGAAGTGGAAAAACAGACCACAACACCTTAAAAATGGCAAGCTGAAAAGGGAAAGCACAATATGCACTAAATGTTTAACACAACTGTAAATAAAAATATGTATATATTCTATGTACAGGTATTAACTTTTAAAAACTAAAACTTAACAAAAAATTTAGGACCTTGGCTAATTTTTTTTATATTAAAAACATAATAAATGAAACTGCAGAAGATCTATTGGTTCATATGAGGCAGCTTCTAATTCTACCCACCCACACTCAATCCACCGATCCTACAGCTATTATATTACCCCAGTAATTTACTCCATAAATCTAGAACACCATTTCCTAACCATTATTTACCAAGACTCATAAATCTGAACTTATTCAATCCATACTTTCATGTTAAATTTTTTGTCAATACATATAACATTAAAACCTTATTTACATCCCCTTTGTTATAACCTTTCATGCAATTATAGAATTATATCACTACATACTCTTCACCTTTATAGAAAATGTAAATTAAGCTTTTTTAAATTTATCTTAAGGAATATTTTTAGTTCCTGGGATTAGTTGTCATCCTCTTTTGTATGCATTCAAGTGATTTTATGTTAAGGCATAAAAGGTATTTAACACTAAAATAGTACTGTAATGCAACATTATATGCACTAACACTTTAAAATATATAATTAATTTTAATAGTACAGTACTGTACATAAATTTACTACTTATTGAAATTCTGCCTAGACTGCCAAGCACAAAAGGTTGCAGTCAATACAAGAGCAAAGAGATTGAGCAGATAAAGAATACAAGAGAAAACCGAGGAAAACATCAATATCGTTAAAAGAATTCAGTTTTATTACATACCAACTCTCTTTAACATAACTCAAGAGATAATGAGCTTCCACTTCAATTTGTGGAAGGTTGGCCAGCTGTCTGCAATGAGCTAACATGGATACCAGCCACGCAGCATCACTACTGCCACAACTACTGATGCTGTCTTCACTTGGCTCACTAGTCTCGACAACCTCCATTTCTGAGCTGCTGTTGTGACCCTCGTAGGTCAGAAGTAGTTGTACCAAGTGAGCCAGGAAGCATACTTGTAACAGGTGGAGATCCTACAAATATACAACAATTTTGAAATACTTACATCTAATTATGAAAATGAATTAACACATTTTATAATACAAGTTTCTTTCCAACAATCAAAATGGCAATAAAACAGCCAACCGACTAAAAAGTAAAAACGAGACAAAAAATAAATGCTTACCTATATAATGACCTGCACAAAATTATAAAGCAGTATACTGTATGAAAACACATATGCTGCATATTTAAATACTAGTACGTATATATCAAAGATTTACCTGTTGACTACCAGTTGCTTTTCCCTGAATGGTAGGAAAAACTGATGGCAGACCAAGGCTAAGAGTGACCAGCATGCTGAAGGTGTCCCACTCTAAAACGCACGGAGTGGCCTCTCCTCCTTCAAGCAGGATACTTAGCAGACGAACAATAGCACCTTCGATGACCTGCAGCAGAGGTAAGGTATGGTAATGATCAGCTGAGAGCACTAACCCATTACAACTAAATAGCCCTTTGAAGTGATATATGCTTTGGGGATAAGGGTATAGACAGGACGAAGGTAAGGAATGGTGCAAAACCACTTTGACAGTTGGGGATTGAATACCAACCTGCATGAAGTGAGGCCATCACTCTATTGTCGAGTTCAAGGGATTGGACAACCTGCAGCAAATGTTCAAGCTATATCCCTTGTACCAACTCTAACAAACAGGGAGGTATGGGCAGTCTTTACTATACATCTCCACCAATGTATTAAACTCATTCTCAATCATTTTAGCACCTGTTTGCCAGATATATGATTAGCCATTTCATTCATTAAACACGACAAACATCTAATCAATTTAATATTGGAAGCAAAGAAGAGCTGGAAGAATGTGACATATTAAAGTTGTAAATATACCTACAGTCACTAATTAAAATTTCAATTAGCATATAGTGAATACTTGCACAAGATTTACATAGTTACAAACATTTACATATTTATGAATTTACCTTGCCTACAATTCTAATCAGACGAGACTAAGCATTAAAACCTTATGCATTAGATCTTATCTAGATTGCAAGCTTGGTACCTGCAGACCAGCCTAAGGTATTTTGGGAAGAGTAACCAACAATGCATATTGCTGCTGCAAGTGTAAAGTGCTTTCCACAAGTTGTCAAGCAATGATGAACACTGATACTCTAAACTGATTCCATGTAACTTAACATTTTACAACCTTTATACTCTTCACATTAAATCCCTGGTCACTCACTGACCATATCTATCAATCACTCTCTTGGCCTTCCTTTCCTCTTACTACCCTCAAATTCACACAAAGACTGCACACAATCTTTGTCAAATTTCTAATGTGTGGTGGCTGTGCATGAGCTGCCCGGGTGCGATGGAAAAAATTTGGTGTGCTACACATTTTGATTTAATGTGACGGCAGCATAAGCTTTGTGCAAGTCTTAAGCATACAAAGAGAGCTGGTTTGGTCATACCCGAGTTACTTACTATGAAGAGCTCAATAGTTGTCCGAGTGTGCAACTTATCAAATGCCAAGCATTTCCTTGCCAAATACTGACAAATACATTTTTTTTGTACCTTTGGTTACATTATTTTATACATCACAAAGAATTTAGAACTTTATTTAGAGGATTTACATCAATTTACTTTACAGTGGTGACAATGTTCTATATAAAAAACGAATGTAATTGTGAAATTTTAGGAATCTGGTAGCTATTCTATTTTTTACCAATGTGAAGTTTAGTTAGTTGTAGAAAGTAGTTTTCAAAAACATCATAACCCTTGTGCAGATCCAGGGTAATTTTTCCTTTTGTGCCACACTTGCAACCTCTCAGTCTTCAGCCCATCCTCCTGTTCTGGTAGTACTTATATGAAGGATGAGGACCATAGTACATATACCGACATACAAAGCAATTAGAAAGTAGAAGTCGGAACTTTCTATTGAATTTGGACAAACTGGGAAAATGATTTAGTACTCATGTTGCAAAGACAAACTAACCTAACCTAACCTACCCTTCCTAGGCTTAATACATGCTCTCTGAGACCTAATATAGCACATATGGTTTCATATAGTTCACTAAATTCAAGTTGAACTGTACATTGATCAGTTTACCAACAAGCATCACATCTGCATACATAGATGCATTTTAGCCATTCATAAAATTTGGTACTGGCACAAGGATTTTTTTTGTATGTACTGGTGTATATGTATATACTGTAGTACAGTACTGTTTTAGCAAATTAGATCTGCAGTAAAAGGTCGTGGTAATAAATTACTGTATACTAATTACATAGTTGAGCATAAAATATGGAAAGCCATAACAGGTTAAAATAAACTTGCCTGTTTCTTCTTTACACAAGCAGGAACATACGCTGCAAATTTGACGAGGGCAGCGAGACAATCCCGCTGACGAGCCGATAATGAAGTAAGTAGGGCACGATTGACATTACGCTGCGTCTCTTCCAAAGTATGGATAGTGTAAGCAGCACTATCCCACACCATTAATGGAATACGTCTACTTGATAAATTGGGATTTACACCAAGGCCATGCTGTTAATAATGAACAATTGATCAATTATTAATTTTCACGAAAGCTAATAAATACACAACTTTATTTTTATATCTACAATACTCTATATGTATAATTCTGCTGTAGACATTGTAGTATCTTTAACAGCACTACTATATATATATAAAACTTGCCTTTAGAATGAATGCCACATCAGCACTATTATTTACAATTTATTATGTAAGGAAACAAAACTGAGAATGGATTTTTATTACTATAACTCACCCCAGTTCATTGTATTACTATAACTCACCCAGTTCATTGTATTCCTACGGCGATGTAGTTATGTTTTATTCTACAGTGTACATGTACTGCATGGGATATACTGTATTTTTATTTCAGTAGCTAAAGTTAATGACATTGTAGCCCAGTGCAGTTGTGTCATAATACCTATACATGCATATTAATGTACTTTAAGTACTGAAGTAGGTTAACATTAATCCAGAATATGCTACTGCATAGCTATACTGTATAGTGGCACTGCCATTGTCCAGATCACTCTGTAGTTCAACGTCTGGTTAACAGCCATACAAATTTGTAGTCCCCACCTTAATTAATTGAAGCATGTCCGAGTAATGAGGGCCACCCCCCCCCCATGGTCATTTGTATATTCATACTGTGTGAACCACACACACACACACAAATGATAAAAAGAAATCAAGAGTGCCTACCAACTCCATACATGCTCATCATCAGTCTCCCTCTTCCCTCCTACCCTCTCTAACTTTGTCACGATCCTTCTTCCAGTCGGCAAAAAGCATGCAAACCTTACAAACTTTCCAAAAATTTTGACAATCTTCTAGTTTTGGGTATTTTTATGAAAATATTTGTTCCATAATGCAATTTTTAAGGTACCAAGAAAATATTTTTACCAATGCATATGTGTTTTATATACGCAAAGATTAATTTAATACTCACTACATAAACAGCATGAGCAAAGTTGGACATCATATCTGAAGTATGGGTTGGGAAGGTTGGCATTGTGGTGGCTCCAGGATTTTTGAAGAGATCACTGAAGGCTTCTGCAGACTCCCGTGACGCTATTGACAGGAGTTCCAGGGTTACAGTGGGTAGGCTTGGAGGCGTCCAAGTGCCCTCGCTGCAACTGCTATTGTCATCTTCCTCATCCTTTCCGTCGCCACCCTACAGATGTACACAGTATAATGAAACAACGCACAGGAAAGTAAATCAATTACCTGTAAATATATATTCCAATTATTTATACACATTCACACAAATGAAGAGTATTTTATATACCCGATTATACAGAAGGTGGAACAAAAGAATGGGAGTTTTGATTTGACTAATAGGAAGGAAGGTGCCATTTAGACAGATTGGCAGCAAAATTTAGTTGTTTGATGAACAACTAAATGGTTCATCAAAATTCTGATGAACCAAATGGCCTTGAATTTTAATACAGTATATGATAAATGCAACTTGCCTCCTGCTATTATGTAAATACTAGGCTCATTTCTAATTATTATGATGGTATATTTTGTTAGTCCTAGTAAACAATACCTTACCTTTCTGCAAGATATCTTTCTGAACAATGTGCTACATAATTTGTGGGAAAAATTGAGAAAATTGAAGTGTCATGTTTAAGGCAATAAAAAATTTTAATTATATTAGTAATCCAACTTATGAAGATATAATGGCTTTACCAACAGGCTAAACATGATTTAACAGAATCCCTGTTGAGGATTGATAGTGCATTGTCATGCTTGTTTACAATGATATATATTGTGGTGAAGTGTGTATCTGTAATGTTATATAATGTGAATGATACAATGTATGGCTTAGTGCTTGGGGAGTAAAACTCCCAGAATCCCCATCAAGCAGGTACTGGTATTTCTTCTTTAATATCCATAACATTTTTCATCCAAGTTATTTTTTCTTTAGCCCGATTGCATCACCCCATGTTAGTGGATAGGGATAAATACCGAAATGAATGAATTAATAACGATACTTATTTATTTATATACTATACACAAGAGTTCTTACATTCTTGTAAAGCCATTAGTACACGTAGCATTTCGGGCTGGCCCTTAATCTTCATTTTTCCCCAGAATATGACCCACCAAATCGTTTAACCAGGTACCCACTCACTGCTGGATAAACAAAGGAGATACTTAACGATTGGCACCCCAGTCAATCCTCCCTGGCCAGGATACGAACCTAGGCCAAAGCGCTTGCAAAGCACCAGTAAGCGAACTGCCGCGAAGCAATATGAACGAAGGCGAATGATATGAAGCTAAATTATATGGCTATCGACCTAAAGTGGGTGAAACAGTAGTTTTAGTAGCAAATGTGGAACACTTTTGGTTCAAGGCTCCAATTCTTTGCATGTTGCACATCTAGATTTTTCTGTGGAGACAAGCTAATCACAATACAGTGTACTGTAAATACAGCAATCTTGCAAACCCAATGAAGGACAGGCAAGAACAAAAGACAGAAATCAAGAGTAAAAACTACTTTGTATTGCAGTAGGACATTCCATCTGTATCAGAAATATAGTGTTAATTATGACATCTTACCAAAATCATATCTTTTGTATTCTGGCAGAAGCTTGCTTGGAATGCGACTATGTGCCGATAATAGCCCGTGAAAGGTTAGCCTTGTACAGTACAACATATGTGCAGCAATTGTGGAAAATTAGGTTTTGCACTAGAGAGGAATTATACAAATAACCCTTTTCTGAATTTTAAGACAAACTGGACACACAAATATCCAGTTCTCCATCACCATTACATGCCAAGGTAGCAGGTTAGTGGGTTAGTTCTGCACGGTCCAGAAAACGTAACAATAATATCCTTACCTAATGCAAGCTAATAAAAAATCTTTTTCAAGTACTTATTGTAACAAAAATTGAAGAAAATTATTAATGAAAGCAACCATAAATGACTCTGAAATACAGCAGTTGTGAATGATTGCATTCATGGTAGTTTGTATCCCAAACATGGTTTAAGTGCAAGTCAGATGTATCAGCTAGCCCTCACTGGCTCTGCAGCCTGTTTACATTTGACTCTGGCCATATTAGCACTATGCCTTGCAAAATAACAGATGGATGCCTATTAACATTAGAATCAAATAATAAAGTATACAGTCACCCCTTATGAAGTAAGGGGTGACATCAGGGAGAAAGGCAGGGGGAAGGGGGGAGGGGATAGCTGTTGGGATATTTATGCAGCTTTTTTCATTGTCAAAGATGAAATTTTGTTTCAGCTCACGGCCTTTGATGCATTTAACGCTTTCACATGGTTCTCTACTTCCTCTTCCCCACATGCATGTTAAAAAATGGATGATTTTTGTATGCGAGTATATATATGTGCATTAGATGAATAGAATAACTGATGTGTACGTTTAGATTTGAGAGATTAAAGTCGTGTGTTCTGGAATAGGTTTCTTCTATACCACTACTGTACAGTACTGTATTAAATTATTAAATACAAAAATCCAGACTGGCTCTGCTCCCAATATTTAAATATTTAAAAACCAATTATGATCAGCATTCATAAGTATGGAAAATTATGAAGTTACATTAAAATAAAATGTTAACACTATAAATAATTGAGAAATGAAGGTAAATACAGGTATATTAAGTACCTTCTTGTGTTTCTTGTAGAGTGGCAGCTTGGACCAGCGAGGAGGCCTACCTCTCTGCCCCCCATCCCCTTGTATCTGCCTCAGTAATGCTGCTGGTCCCACACTTGTGGAAACCCCTCCAACAACTAAAATGGAGGTACTCCCCCCAGCACCTATGGGGTTGACTAGTGCAGGCATACTTAGAGTGCCAACCACAGCACCAGATGTCGGCACTGCACCTGGCAGTGGAACCGTTTCCATCTGCCCGTCCTCTTGTTGATTACTTTCCTCATCGGGTCGTGCTCCAGACAACACCACAGTCTGCACACCATGCAAAACAAGATTAACACTTAACACACACCACCAATTTACCGAAGCCATAAAACCTGATAATCCTTCACACTTAATGGATTACTGTATATCACATTTTAACCGTAATAAAGATTGCTGAAAATAAGTGTGTAGGAAGCAGTTTTCAAGGCCTTGCCAACTTGAAGGTTAAGTGCAGTTTCTTGTTAAATACCAGCGTGTTAGTGAACAGACATTTGTAATTCAATCTTGAAGTTCAAAATAAGAATTAGAAGCATCAAGCTATTAGATGAACACTATTGTCAGATCCCTGAACAAAATATGGATAACAGCAGACACTCACTATGTGTTTTCAATACTCTTCAGCTGTGCAAGCTTTAATGCAATTAAAATCTTTCATCACTGAACCTTTTCTATCTTTCTACAATATCTACTTCGCCCAAGGATGGGGAAATATCTACTCGTGTGTGCCTTACTGGCGAGTGTGCCAATTCACTTTATATAGTAGTACAGTATTGTGTATTTGTGGCTGGGAAGTGGCAAGTCCATTTAGTAATTAATAATTTTAAATTTGTAATGTCCATGTAGTAATTTTTTATCGAGAGGCGAAAAAGTGGACTTGGGAAGTCTTTGGAAAGTAGTGTACAAGTACTGTACTGTATTCCTATTTTCGTGCAAGTTGTAAAGGTCTCACAAAACAGCAATTTTGACCGACCAATTATTTTTAATAACTAGCTTTCACAAAGCATAACACACCTGATGTACAGTACAGTACTGTAGTTACTAACTAGGTTTCATCTAGGACATGTCCCATAAAGTGATTCAACATTATGACATTAATATAGTAGATCCTCACTAACAAATTCTTGGATGGCCCAGATTGTGTTCAGTGCAAGTTGTTTAGTGGTATGTACAAATGTTCAGCCAAGTGAGGATTGTTCGTCTAAGCCGTTGCCAAGGCTGAGCATTGAGATGCGGATGTTAGCATCATCAATGATCCACCTAATCTTAATGTAAGGTATTGTACACGCTCAAACTTTTAAACAAATACAAAATATTTTACAAAATTATAAAAAAATATTACTATTTAAAAAACACACAACAGCCAAAAGTGAACCTTATTATGTCATGCATTATAAATATTCATTGTTTTATAAAGGAATTCTTGTTCAAGTTCAAATACTATATTAATAATAAACTATTATACAAGTACATTAATATTGCCAAACAATAACTAAACGCAAAATTACAAAAACACAACCCATGTTGTGACCCATGTTCCCAGACTAAAACTTTCCTATGGTGAATGCAGTAGAACCTTCCAGAGTATTCTGTTGAAGCCTGTGACCGATAACCCGTTGCTACCAGATCTGTATATGGTGTAAGTCCTGGGACATGGTTGTGTTTGCAGAGCAATTAGACCTGGCATTCATAGCTAGCTGATTATATTTGTAGGATAACGAGTGTCTAGAATTAATAGAAATGGGATTTTTTTTCCTGTACAGATCACTCTGTTAAAAACTGTCTGTTGGTATTGTAATGGAACTTAAAATATTTTTGAGAGTTTGTTTCCATATTTTGTTGTTAGTTAGGTTAGTTTTAAATTATTAGATTCCCTGATTGTTATCTGTGAGTATTTATGTTGTTTGTCATTAGTTAGACTATCATATTCCCGTCATTTATAAAAAACTGTATTTAGTTTTTATTGACTGTTAGTTTTACCTGTCTTGTTTTTCTCCACAGTACTTATTCTTGCCACCGAGGTTGCATCAACAAAAGACCGAGGAGTTTTATGACGGGTGTAACAATCAGATCAAATATTTAAAATAAGTAAATTACAAATAACTTTCTCTCCATGTAGATAAATAAAGATGATACAGCATTACAACTTTAAAACTATGAAGGTTAAGATGATAATTTAGATTAAATATGGTGTAGTTCTCTCAATAGCTCAGATTCCAAATTAGAAATGGATGTATTCCTGCTCACAGCAGGAAAAACAAAATATATACAATTCTTATAAAACCATAAGCCACTTCTATTGGGGAATAACTATTCAGCTAAATATGTGCATAATGCCAGCATAGTTATCAGGAACGCCACACAAAAATTACATCTCACAATAATTACTTGATAAAACAGATCTTTAAACTGTTAATGTAAGGAGATATCCAGTACAGTACAGTAATTACATTAAACAGGGATTACCAATCATATTTTGAACACATTTTACAGTACAGTAAAAAATATTCATTACCTTCTCTAGCTTAATTTTTTTTATATAGCATTTCATACTAGTGCCTCCATTTCCATATACATACCTGTACTTAAAATGGTACCTTAAAAAAATAACTACACTATTTCCAAACCAAATTCAACAAGTTTAGTCTGTTAGAAAAGTTAAGACAAGATGGTGCACAAGAAAGTGAAGTCTAACACATGATGCAATGGCAGACCGAGTCATTTCCTTACCTTGTACTTGAGGATAGTGTAGAGGCCCTTAAGCCAATCAGAAATAGAGATGGAGGGAAAAGAAGGAACAGAGTCTTGACTCTGAAGGTTTGCTGCTGTGCCTGTGACACTGGGCAACAATGGGAGGGCAGTATTACACAGGGCCTCACACAGGGGACACAAATACTCAAACTTCTCTATGTCGAAACTCAGGTTCTGTCGGAAACTGAAAATAATACAAATGTACGTTGTACAGGTTAAAGTGAATTTAAGTTTACATTCCACACAAACTAAAATAACACACATTCAATCATTTAAATAATAGATAAATAATCCCAGTACAGTAACCACTTATTTCATGCTATTGTACATTTCTGGTCAATATTTGGAACAATTTGAATTATGCTATTATTCCCGAGGGGTGAGACTGAATAAAAAGTGAATTGGTATTCCAATCTGGGCCTTTCACTATATGTTACAAATCAACAAATGGTCTGGTTTCAATAGTATTGTCTTATAGTACATTTGTAGTGTGACCTTTCAAATTTATAAGCAGCAATGCTGGATAACATTTGCAATGTCAGTATTGTACATGAATAAGATTCTTCATTCCTCAGCCAGTCATCCTGGCACCAAATGCTGCACTCACCAGCATGCTAATGTACTACAGTACTTATACTGTAAATAGAATTTTTATTTTGTTTTCTAGCCGAAAGAACAGACTACCTGTACACTAGTACAAATACTTAAATTACAATATCTTTAAACAAACTTAACCTAAAAAGAGAATACTGTATTAGCATCCTAAAATTTTGAATCTGCTAGTGAACAAAATACAGTAATAAAATTCAATTATGCATTTACAGTACACTCCAAGTGTAAGAAAACTTGTGGCATTTCACAGCTTAAAAGCATGATTTATGCAACAATAATTTTATACCTGACATGCTAATTACCTATCAATATTAACATTCATAATTTTTCTTGAAGTTGTGGATGGAATTGGTTTCAATAACTTTTTTCTTCAGTGCATCTAACTTGCCCTTGGAAAACCGTCTTCATGATGTTAGACTTCTTTGACTATATTAAAAATGAGTCGTGCTGCAGCCAGTAAGCAAAAAATATATACATGGCATTATGAAATTTTGGATGCAATTTACATACATCCAATTCTTGGATTATACAAGAACTTTCAGCTACTGCAATTTTAGAACTTTTCAGATCCCGATAAAACCAAGAATATGGCTTTTATCCAGGACACACACATCAAAAATTTCAATATATTTAATCGACCTTGCTGCAATAATGTTTTACTACACTGCAAAATTGTCAATGTATTATTGTGCAATTTAAGAATCCTGGATGCATCTATAGTATCTGGTCATGCATTTATAAATTTTGGCGAGACTATGCTTATTTATTTTCAAGATAAAGGCCCAAGTCCCCCTCTTCCTCCACAGATCGTGTATTACACTGGTTGTGCAATCTACCGCGCCAGGGGCTACATGGTTCAACAGCAAGAGACCATCCCTGCAACCACCCCCCCCCCCCTCACTTCCCCTTACCGTGTTAAGCAGATACACAGGATTCTTCATACAGTATTACTGATGAAATAAAGTAAAATTTTATCAATTCAATCTGACAAAACCATAAGGTTAACTTACCACAAAACCACTAAATTAATAACCACTGTAATCACAACCTACACAACATTATGCATGATACTGACACTAACACCAGTGGACAACAATAAATCTCCCCAAAGGAAAAATATCTGACACTAACCCCCCACAGTACCAGGGAATAAAACAAACCAACTAGTCGCAATAGAGAACAAATTTCAAAAACACCAAAATCTGGAATCATTTGATCATGTGCACAATGCCACTTTGATCAAGAGTTTAGGTGGGGGTTGGAGGGAGGGGAAGTGGAGGGGATGGGAGGGAGGTATTGTTGAGCCAACTTTCACTGTGGGATGGGGAGGGTAGTTGTGTTGTGGTAGGGGGAGGGGAGGGGAGGGGAGGAATGAAGAGCTCTTAACATTTTCCTCTCAGGCACGTACTATACTCACTTTGCTGCATAAAAAAACGAACCTACTGTATTACGGACGTCCCATTGCCACCCCTAACCACCACCACACTACACTGTGTAATACACCATACAATAACCACGCTAAACCATTAAGTTGTGCAACGCAATATCACCCAACAATGTGCTACACATTATCAGAGTGAATACTACACAGTTGCTCAAGATGATGACACCATAACAATTGCTCACAATGACTCGCCTTCAAAGACAATCACCTACAACTACAAGAATTGCATTTCATATGCTCCAAGGCTGTAAAGAACAGCCACAGTAGAAAATAGTGTGGACAAATGAAGGGCGATGTGGTCAACCTCTATGTATAAGAAAATAGTTTAAGTTGAAAAGTGGAAGACACACAAATGAAACCAAGTAGTCAAGATGTAGAATTAACTTAAAAATGTACATAAGAATTACAACTTTAAGACAAATGTAATACTGTACTTTAATGTAAAAATAGTTAAACCTCACCAGGTACAAATAGGAGACAAAATCCAAAAAGATTTCTCATGCCGCCATTGGCACCGATAAGTAGGCTTTCCTATGCCTTTTAATTACCACCACAAACAATTCCACCACCTTGACAGACCCATCCACGACCACTTCAAACTATCCCCCACAAACCACTATAAACCCTAACCTGGCAACTTCAACCCCCCCCTACTACTAACCCTCATTGGTCTCTCGACTTCCACTTATTACTTGGCGGCTTTAACTAAATTGGCTATTGTTCCTTCTTAAATATCTGAACACCCCACCGGATGTGCGACATCATCACCATGGCTGTCGCCTCATGGCCTTCCCAGACGTCGTCTTTGGTAGCAGCTCACTTTCTCTGAAGTTTGGACTGTGGGAATTATTCTTTCTCTAATATTTGCCCTTAACACCATCTCCAAACCCTAGGTTATCAATTCCCTTTAACTGTTTTCTTCTGCTTTGTCATTACTCTCAAAGTGTAACCTCCCCCCCCCAACCTCCCCACCAGTGTGGAGAGCCAAGGTCATCACAGCTTCAGACAAAACATCTCCCGACGCAGATGACGCGTCAGCACTAAACAGAAAAAATAAACAACAGGGACTAGGACACACTATCAATAAAAATAGACAAATCCAAGTTAATTTGTCTCATTGATTATGTACACTCATACCCATCCTGTGAGTATTAGTGGAAAACGCTTGAGGCACACAGTGGACGCTAAAGCTGCACCCATATTTGTTAAACTAAACAAAAACATGGAATAAGCAACAAGACCAACAGATAAACACAGATCAGCTTGCATACGTCTTATGCTGTAAGTATATCTAGCAAATTCGCTTGTGTGGGGAATCTACATCACTAAAATCTACACATTTTAGGTCGTGTTAAGCTACTGAACTTTTAAAATTAATTAACTGCAAATTTTAACAATGAATAATAAAGTTCAGTATATCCAATGTAAATGACTACTCTCCCATATTCAACGGTATAATATATTTGCACCGGGAAAATTTCAGTGATTAACAATCCCAATGGAGTCTGATAGACCTTTTGCATCGGTATATATATATATATGTATGTTTCGGTTGGCCCCAGGTTGGTTAACTCATTGTCAGACTAAACTCCGAATTAGACTCAGCAAATCCTAAGAAAGGGCTGGCTGCCCAGTAAGCTGTCAAGTCTCATAACTGTGACATGACGAGCCAACACACATGCCCCCAATATCTAATTGATGAACGAGAAAGTCTATTTCCCTTCAAATACCTAACAAAATTTCGTAATTAAATTTTCCCAAAACGAAAGGTCACCCTTAGCTAGCTACACGATAAGCTGTCATTAGTACTGTATTAGCATTTTAGCACAGAGCGGGAAAGTCGACACGGCCACGGCTGAAGCTCTTGCCGGAAGAGAAACTTGACTAACACCATGACAATCATTACCGTGCCGGGTCCTGCAGAACCAATGACGCCCGTATAGCGATCCAAGCGGTTTCAACTCTACAATTTGACTTTAAGCTAAGCGCTGAAACTCGCTGGTTATTCAGCACTGCATCTTAGTTGTCTCACCCGTATAAACCGGGCACTGTTGGTATAAAATAACAAAACGAAGGGCTGGAGGTAAGGGTGATCCCGTGATAGCGTAATTAAGATGAAGGGGGTTGGGAAAAGAGGGAGGGGGAGTGGAACAGTCATAGTAATATTTACGATATATTGTTCAGGATAACGACAACAAACGCTTCAGTAAGACAGATCGAAATAAAAATAGCTCGTAAATTTAGTTATATTTTCTTCATATTTTCAGGGGGCCCCACTAACAAAAGACCAAAACAAAGTCTTAAAAAATAGCATGCCAAAAATACTGGTTAGAAAAAAGTTAGAAAAGTTCGAGCCTCAACCTTTTTTGTAACCAATTAGAAAAATCATACAACGGCGGAACGATAGTATTAGGCTAGTTAATAAAGCTAAAGAGGCGAGGCTAGGATCCAAGGTGGCCAAATCTGGAAGTTTTGTGTAAGATGCCTGGTTATATTACCGCTATGTCTTACCATCCAGGAAACAAAGAATGAACAACAAGGAACACCACACTAGGCCGGTGATGCTGTCATCCGGGAGAACGAGAAGCCTCACTAACACCTCTAACAAAGGAACAGGTTGACAGATTATGGCCTGCTACCCCCCCCCCCATCCGCCTCTCAAGGCTGCCAATTATGCCAACCATCCCCGCCTACTGTGTACTCGCCTAGGTGTGCTTGCGGAAGCTGAGCTTCCACTCTTTGGTACCGTTTTAGGAGACTTTTCAATAGCTTCTTAAAAATCTTGATTTTGCTTTATTACTTACCTTGTGAAGTACAGAGACGTCCGCAGGTATAGTTTAGGCCAAGCCTTCACGATTTATTTGTTTTGCTCATAATATAGGAGTGCCCGTGTTAATGGCATGCTTTACTTCTATATAAACACAAGAATCTGGGCTTGGAGACCAGTGCAGGGGCATGCTGACTAGTGCCTTTAGAAAGGCTGTGGACTTTGTTGCCATTATTCGACATTTATGCCCGGAACACTTTGCGTATTAGTGTCTTTATTATAGTTGATAGTTTTAATCGCATTGCTAAACATGGCTTTTTCTGTTCTTTCTAAATTTAAATAATTTCCTGCGAGATTAGAA